ATGTCCTCGGCTTTCCGTAAAAAGTCGATTCGGCAATTTGATCGTCGTTGATAATCGCCAGTGGCCAGTGTCCATTCGACATCCATAATGAGCTGGCCTTCGTAAAAATCCTTCGAGGCTACAGCTTCGGTCAACGGGACGGCAATAAAACGTGTTTCGGGAACGCGTGTTTTGATACGGTTTATTTCCGTCGTTATTTCCATCTCGCAGAGAAAGGATCTCGTCGCGATAAACCGACAGAGCAAGTGTCGATCATCTCGTGGATATTTGACACGCGATTCCCGCGGAGATTCCCGTGATCTTAGAAATGGCGTCATCGCTGACGGGTCTGCTATCGATCAGCCACAATCATTTTATAAATTCTATAAGCTGGTTCTTTCCTTCGTTTTGTTTACTCGTGGCTTATGCCAATCGCGCGACAGCGATTTTTCTTTCCTCCTTCAAGGATTTCCAGCCGCGTCGCGTCGCCATTTTTTCAACGCGCTATTCACAGGCGCTGCGAAGAGAACGTTGAGTACGAAGACGCTGGATAATTATGAAATAAAAATGTCGCACGTTGTGGATTCGGAATGCGCGGAACTCGAGTGACTACTCGAAAGAAAGTTGCGCGAGTTGTTGGAATTTATTAGATTTATTAGAAAGGGTCGCGGTAGAGAGGATGGAAATACACAAGAGCTAACGCCGTGAGAAGAAATTGAGATGAAAACAGGTTCCAAGAGACATTATCGAATTGCATCGAGGGTGTTCAAAACAAGAAAGTGACTTGCGAATTTGATTAAATAAAATTGATGCATTCGCTCATTTACAGAAGTAATTTCGCAACGGCCATTCGCCGACTCTCGACTTTGATGCATTAATTTCTGAGAAAAATCGATGCAATCGCATTGGAAAGCACGTGGGACGCAAAAGTTGCGTGCAAAATTAATCAACGAACCAACCAAAAGGCTGCAAGGCGAATATTCCTAAATAAAGTTTAGAGCCAACATAGTTTGTGATTATTACTCGACGGAAATATTATAATTGGCCACCCAGGAGGTCATCGACGTTAGAGAAAAGACGAACCGTCCAAACTAACGCGAGACCTTTGAAAATAAATACACAACGACAGCCCACCACAGCCACGCACGCACGCTCGCCGAAGTTTAAAATCGCGTCGCGTGAAAGTGTCGTACGCGCGCGTTTGTAAAAAGTAAAAGTAAAGAAATTCCACGGGCTTGTCAGGGATTTAAGCCCGAGACGTCTTACTTGTTCGCTTTTTTTAATTTTTTATAAAAAGAAAAAGCTTCAGTTAATAACACGTATAATAATTCCGCGATCGACTGATTATAATAATTTATTACGCGCGTATGTTCTGTCTACTCGAGCAAGTTGACACCTGTGAAATCAACTTATAAGATCGATTACACAGTACAATTATTACGAGACGATCGTAACAATTAAGGAATTTAGAGGCGGGAGAAACGCGGCTCGTTTCCCTAATTAATTGGATCCAGACGCGTCAACGTCTTAGTTTTCGCCACGGCCATTGAGAATTTCACTTGCTCGGTGGAAAGACACGATTGTCCAACGGATGAAAGAAAAAGCGTTAATTATCTCGTTTGAATGAGAACCGAGAGATTCGAGATTCTCGAAGTTGGTGCACGTGGCGCCACCTGTGGTAGAAACGTTGCATTCGTGATTATCATTGCGTGTTGCCTTCGTCCTCGCAATTGCCCTGCCAACAAGATGATAATCCTCCGTTTCGATCTCTCGTAACAAAGTTAGGCAGAAAGGTCAGAAAGTGCGCGATTGCTTTTCATCGCCAGAACGTAATTACGGTCGCGTCAAAGATGACAAGCTAGAAACTTGACGCGTTTTTGCTAAGGCCAACGAGAAAAAACGAGGTTTGCGTTTAATTCTCCTTGAGACGATCGAGCACTCTACCGAAAGTAGGACCATTCCACAAGAAGTTAAATCTTTTTTTCATGGGATTATAACAGTGTGCAGATTCTAATTGCCAACCTTTGTTGCTCAAGGTGAAATCCGCGTTCGTACCCTCGAGGCGAGGGAAACACGCCTTTTTTTTTTCTGTCCTCAGAGAAATGACAAAAGTTTTCTGATCTGTGAAATACGACTGAGGAAAAAGTAGGTAAAAAACATTTCTAGCGGTTTTTTATTGTTGCATCAAAACGTAAGTCTTTCTTTTTTTTAACGGTCAGTTTTTCCAATCGATGGGTGACACTTCACGCTCGTAAAAAAACAGACCTTCATAAAAGAGAAAAAAAAAAGAACAAGAAAGAGCGACGAAATTTTTGGCACAGCTTTTACAACGTTGCGTTTTTACAGTGTTGCGGAATGGTTAATGCGCGTATTCCAATTAAAATAGTTCGATGGTAAAGTAGCCTAGCTGAACAATTCCATGACCTTCATCATCGTTTTATAACATTCTTATTCTTTTCCCTCACGAGAAAATAACGTTTCTACCTGTTGTTCCATCCTGACCTACGCCGGCAACTCAATGGCCTTCTAGCATTGGTCGAGGAGCATCTTTATACCTTCTAATATTCCGGAAAATTAAGGTAAAGCCTGGGATTGATTAGTATTGCCATGCCAAACAAAAACGTGCATAAAAGAGGAGCAACTATAAACAGTGGGTTTACGAATCTTTTACAAATTATTCAAATGCTTTTTACGAATATTAGTCTCGTCCCATGCGTTTAATCGTTCGAAAACAAAGGGAACGATAACAGTAGAAACAATACGAAATAAGTTATCGTAGAGAAGCGCCTTTGGCATCGTTCTAATTACCATCTTGATAAGAAATGCTTGGTTAATTGCATTGTTGCTCTTGGATGTGCAACGTCTACTTAATTACTACAAAGACGACACTGACCTACGTTAGTTCCGGTGAAAACTACGATTTTCGAAATATATTCTGTTTGCCCGGTGGTTGCGTAAACTCGTGCGTGATCTCGTGAAATTAAAATGGAAAAAAACGCGCGACGCAAGATTCTATACATCATCACTAACACAGAAATCCCCAAAGGTGTTATCGATCATTAAGATCTCTATGATCTATGAGCTGCCATGGTTGGATCTTCAAGGACGTGTGCAACGAGAATCGTGTTACTCGGCACAAGTGCACAAGGGGATTTCTTTTAAACTAATTTTAGCAGCGATCAGCTACGAGCTATGAGTAATTGCGAATCAGTAACCAATATCTCGAGTGTGAAGAAGAGAAAGAAAGAGAGAAAAGAAGGGAGGGAGGGAGGGAGTCTGCCACGAGGGATATAAGGATGCAAGGTTAACCCGCAACTGAATGCGTTTCGTTTTTCACCTCTGAAATGTTGCTTTCGCAGGTAAAATTTACGACCGTCATCTCAGACTCGATTCTTCCGTTTTTTTTCTTTTTTTTTTTTTTTT